GATGGATGAATTTTTATCCACACAATGAAATGAGCACACATAAAGCATTTTGGTTTCTCTCTTCACGTTTAGATTTTTAGCCAAGTTCTTTTTGTCTTGGTCTGATTATTAGAGAACAGCCACAAACAGCACAACAGTTACCCAAGCTCCACAAGGCATCTTCCGACACTTTCCAGTGGCAAGTTGGTCTTTATGACAGGTTAATATGTGATTCGGTTCAGTTCTAGTCCAGTGGGGAGAGATTAGCCGTATTATGGTCTGAACCGCAGCAGCTGCGGTTATTTCTCCACTGATTTGCAGAGTCACTCAACAACGGAAGAACCTCGAGGTTCTGTTTCTGATGGACTAAATAAACCCAGATTTTTTATTTTGTCTTATAGAAATGTATTGCTGGCCCAAACACAATGATAAAACACACTTGCTGCAGCCACTTCATGAACTTTATTATTTTTTACATTCAAATGAAAAATCAAATTCACATCACAAGCTAATATTACATAGTTCTGCTGTTTTATACCTGCAGCTCAGATCTTCTCTGCTTTTTCTTTATTACTGTCAGTTCTTCAGAGAAACAAGCTGCTACCAGCGCTGTTAATTCACGGTTATTCTGTTACAGAACTTAATGCTGTTCCTGTCTCTCCCCATAATTAAACTCACAATTACAATCCTCTGTACTGAGCAAACGGTGTGTCCGTAAACAAGTTTTACTAAATATTGTGCCATAGCCGAAAAGAGAGATGTAACTTCTATCATGAATATAGACTAGACAAAAACACTACAAATTACAGTGAAATAATGCTACTTCCGGTGGGCGTGGGAAGTAAGACCCATAATTGTTTCCCTAGTAAGCTTCCCAGGAATAAGGTGGATAGTGGGCTTCTTCAAATTTTCAGACTAAATATATGGTTTTCTCCAAACTGCCTACTGCAGCTTTGATATCTATGTTATTGTAACACTACTGTGAGGGGTAAACCCATGTTACCATACAATAGGAGGTTGTGGGTGGAGAAAAAAGAGCAGAACACTGAGAGGGAATAGCATAGCTGTCCAGATGTTTGATCAACCTCCATTTCAATCGAACAGAACACGGGCCCTTCTCAACAAAAAAACAACAAAGAAGCAAACAAATCCTCAAAGACAGCACAATTCCTTAGCTATAGATCGACTTTAGTAAATAACTGTATGTAACCACATTAATTAAAAAGGAAAAATAAATAATCTTACATTATCTTGATGTGTGTTTTCTAAGAATCTTTCCTGGACTTTCTATCATAGTCCAGAAAGAGAATAAAGAACTACATTGTCAGTGTGTGTTTCCCTAAAAATCTCCAGCTTCAATCTTGAAAGAATTACCCATTATATTTAGTTTCTTCATTCATGTTGGTGTGATTCAAAGAAAGTCAAAGAAAACCCACATGACCATTGCCCACAATAAAACAATTAAGAAACAGGAAGTGATATGTTTTCCTCATTGCTGCATCTGTTTCTTCTACATGACAGATGGTTTGATTTCTCGAGGAAAAATGTCCCAGGAGTCAAACCCAGGAACATGGTTCTTCCAGTCCGGCTGAAGAGGAGGATTGTTTAAAGCCATCAAGCAGCTCAGCCAGTAGCATTCAGAGGTCAGAGGTCTCAGATCCTCCTTCACTTCCTCTGGAAGGTCACCTAAACATTCTGGGAAACCAGCCTGAGGAGGAAATGTTCAATGTTAGACACTGATTAGAGCTATAAATGTATCTGTTCTGTTTGGTTTCCAAACTGGATCATCCGTAAACAAACCTTCAGAAGTTCTTCTTTGTTGGTGTGGAACAGCGCCATCTGCAGGTTCTGAACTGTTAGCTGTCTGTACTCTTTAACCTGGAACACAGGAAGCTGCTGCTTTCACACACTTCATGCTGCTTTAGTGATTCTGTGCAGAAAGCTGTTCTACAGTCCAGTTACCTTCTGAGGAGTCGGTCCACTGCTGGACTCAGACTGTTGGAACATTTTTTCTATCTGCTGCCTCCTTCTCTTCATTTCATCTGATGCATTTCCAAATGTTTTCTACAAACATCAGTTCAATATCAAATGAGACCCACAGTGACATTAAACCCAGCAGGTGAACGTCCTGAGATCAGATCTACCTGAATCAGATCTTTGGCCTCCTTTGGGTTCCTCTTCTTGGACTTCAGCTGATCTTTGACCTTTGGCCACTGCAGCAGCTTCAGGTTGTCGTACATCTCAGTCAGTCTGGTTTTACTGACCGGGTTGTTCATGCTCTCAGTGTCTCCTGTTTTCAGTGAAGCTGCTACCTGAGCTGCCAGCCTGTCAGACAGTTTGGTTATTTATGCAGCAGGTCAGTAAATATGAAGTTTCATCTTTCTGTACCTGTCTTTCACTGATTTCAGTTCTGTCTGTTTTTTGGCTGTTTCAGATCTGTGGAGGAAAGAATGAAGCTTTCAGGAACACAAACGCTGATCTAATATTAGCAACTGAATACAGACCTGCAGAGATAAATCATTAGGTTAAATATTAGCTAGTAAGTGGCTACACAAAATATCAGGAAATTTCTTACCGGGCCTCATTGAGCTTCTTTTTGTAAAATGCCTCCATCTGTGTCATACTGTGTTAAAATACACAAATTATTAAAATCATCAGTTCTATAATTACTGATTATATTTTATGGTTAATTTTACAAAATCAGACCTTTCTTTGTGTTCACATCCTTGTGGGTTACAGTGCTGGGGGCTGGATCGCACATCTGCTGATTCCTGCAGTCTTTAAGTAAATACAGTATTTGTCATTATTTTAATGTGCAGGAATGAAAGTGGAAGGTAAAGTTAATTTATATTTTGCTTGTTCACAACAAGTGATGTCTTAAGGTATGTCTTTATATCTTATTCCTTTGCAGGTGAGGTTAGCTCAAGTAATCAAAACCAAACTAATTTGGATTGCAAACTGCTGCATAGAGAATTTATTTATTTTTTTCCTTGAATAAATTAATTCTCTGCTAAAATCTTCCTCTTTCAGTTGTTTGTGCTCTTGATCACAAGTGAAGCTCTAAAGATCACTTCCAAATTGCAAACATGCTGGACAGGGAAACACTTTTTAAAAGTCTAATTTAAGCAATCATGACTCATTCCTCACTGTTTAATCTGCAGTATTTATATGACATAATGCAAATTTGAAATAACTGAATGTAAACATGACAGCTGAGCTTGTTACATGACTTATACCTCTGTTTGAGGGATTTCAGTTCTTCCTCTTTTTGTTTCAATTCACATCTGTGAGGAGAAAAAGTAAACCAAGTTTTTAAATTAATAATAACTAAAAAATATATACATTCAGTTATTCTAGACATATCTAACGAAAACTGTTGTCATTTTAACTGGTTAAACTTTCTTATCTTAAAGAAAGAAGAAATTGTATTGAATTCCGATTTTCAGGAACTCAATACAATCCCTGAAAATCGGTTCAGACCTAAATGACATTTTCTACACCAATTCCAGAACTCTCTAACCTTCCACTCTCTTCAAAGAAGTCATCTTTCACAGCTTTAATTTTCATGAATGCCCTTCCCATTTCCAATGAGCAGCAACAAGTCGATATCACTCCTCACAACAAAATCAATAAATAATCCATGACCTTTGTCGAGAAAAGTCGAGCTCATCCCACTTCCCCATGCTGGAGATTTTAGTTCAATAATAATAATAAATAAAGTTATCTTTAAAACTAATTACACAGGTGACATCAAGCCCCAACAGTAGAGTCAGACGGTAATAAAATTAATCTGGTTGTGTGTGTTGTTATTATGTCCTGCAAACTTTGCTTTAATTCTACTTTTTTCTATTTAATCATAAAAAATCATAATTGGGCAGAGGAAGAGTCATGGAACAGGAAGAGCAGGTTTCCTGAAGAAAGGGGAAGTTTCCAGCCTGCATGTGTTTAAAAATAGTTCAGAGTGCTCATTTCAAAGCATTAAAGGTTTAAAGAATAAAATCTAAACATTTTGAGTAATTGGATAAAACCCAGAGTAAAATACTTAAATTAATAATGATAACTTATAATTAAGCCAATAATTAACATTGGTTTAACCAGTGGTTGATGTTGGTTTGATTATAAGAATATTTACTCTTATACTTATGGAAGTACTTAAAGGTGAAAGAAGTAACTGTAACATGGTGTCAAATAATTAGAATGATGAATTATTCTTGGTTTCTTTTCAGAAATGTCTGTAATAGCACATTATGATTATAAGAGTAACTAATAAGTAATGGTTATTATAAAATTATAAATGAATGCTAAATCAGAGAAACTAAAAGGTTATAAATGTGATTTTGACATTGAACTTGAAATGGTGTAAAACGTGTAACTGTAATCAAAGGTCAATGATGTTGTGTTGGAGGTAGATGGTAGGTGAAAGGTCAGGGGGAAAGAGGAACTGATGGGAGAGCGGAGGTGTCTAACGCCTTATTGCTAAACTTAAAACGTACCTAAGAAAAGGTTAGACACAAGAGGGCTGTTGAGCAACTCGGGGACATTAGAACAGACATCAGGTCATCATGTCTCCAAGACGGTGATGGATATGAGATCATCGGTCCAAGCAGTCAGCCAATGAGACAGGCACAGCAACAAAGCTAGCCAATGCAAATGCACCAAAAGGGTGGATAAACCCTTTATAAGGTGAGTGCAAAAGAGGAGTCTCTGGTTGGATCTTGGATCTTCGAGCCAAGATCGAGATGGACAAAGAACTCTGCAGCTGAAGAAGAGCCGGAGCCACAGAGCCGAAAACTGTTGTGAACATGGGGACCAACATGTGGCTTCAA